CCCCATTCCCCTCCCTTCCCTGCCACGCTAAACTATCCTCGCGCCACCACTCTAATGTGACAATGTACAATCATCGCCTTAATGTGATGAAATCCATGTGTCAAGGTAACACCTGTCAAGTTAACACCTGTCCCCTCATGGTAACAGCCTCCCCTTCAAGCACAACATATCCGTCTCCTGTTTCCTCGCGGCACGTGGTGTGTGGTGTGTCTTGCTTGTTGTGACATCGCGTTGGCCCATCATCATATGCTATGGCATTCGTTGGCCTGCCCACTGCTTGTGTGGATCCACGTGTCTGTCGGTGGCATGGCATGGCAGTCACACGCGGCGTCAAACATAGCATGGACGGAGGAGCTTCAGGTGTGGTACCGGGACAACTCGCACAGGGGCCTGGTGTTCACCAACACGTCCAACCTGCTGGGCGCCGTGCTGCTCTCCTCCGCGCCCGTCATCTCCAACCGCCCCGCCCTCGACCCCCGCTCCGGCGGCGTGCCTCCGGGCCACCCGCCCCTCTCCGCGTTCATGGGCGTGCCCCTCATCGTCGGTCAGTGCCCCTCCCTCCCCAGCACGCTTTGAAGAATTGACACTATGTGCCGAGTACCACGAGTAGGAATCCCTGTGTGCAGGTCAATGACTGAATTTTGCCATCCCATTAATGCCCCAATTCCCTGCACACACCACACCCTGCAGGGTCGGAGATGATAGGCATGTACGCGCTGGCGAACAGGGCGGGTGGGTACAGCAGGGCGCTGCTGCAGGAGCTGGAGCCGCTCACAGCCAGTGCGGCCGTCATGCTGCAGGCGGTGCACGAGAGGAAGCGCAAGCGTGACGCTGAGCTGCGCCTGCTCTCCGTCCTCCAGGTCACTCTCTCCCCCCCCATCCCCCCCCCCTCTTCCCCGCTCGCTTTCATCTTCCCTTCCCCCGGTGCTCGTGGCGTTCTCTCCATCCCTGCACTGGGGGTACATGCCGTGCCACTTCCTCCCATGCGTTGTCATCTCGCTCCGCACGCTCCTCTCCATGCCACACCCCTTCCTCTTCCCTCCGCCTCCATTACCTTTCACCTGCTCAAAACCCCCATCCGCTTCCCCCTCAACCCCTATTCTTCCCGATCCCTGCCTTTTCCCTTCCCACCGCACGTGCCAGGTGGCGCGGGACGGGCTGATGACGGTGGGGGGGGACGGGCGGGTGACGTGGATGAACGGGGCGGTGTGCGGGCTGTTTGGGATGGAGGAGCACCACGGCCACGCGGACGCCATGGGCGCACTACACGTCAAGGCCTTCATCCACTCCATTGAAGGCTCGCCCCACTACCTCTCCCTCGGTGCGCTCCCTCTCCCTCCTTCCCACTTCTCCCATTCTGCTTGCCATGCACTGTCGCTGCTTGCCATGCACTGTCGTGTCGGTGCTGTCATCTGGGCATGTCCGCTGTCTCAAGTCTCTTACTGGGCTGATGCACGGCGGTGTGGCGGGGGCAGGGCTGGAGTCGTTTGTGGGCCACATGCGCCGCGCCACGGGCATCAGGTCCGACGGGTCCCGAGTCAAGCTCCGGCTCTCTGTCTCCGTGCAGTCTCACCAGCAGCAGCAGCAGCACCAGCAACAGCAGCAACAGCAGCCACTAGCACACGCAGGCCAGTCGGATCAGCAGCAGCAGCAGCAACAGGAGTTTGTGATTGTGGTTCGGGAGCAGGCCGAGTCCCGCACTGCACCGTCGTGGGACCTGCCTCCGCCCAGCCGAGGGTCACTGAGAAGCCAGTCGTCACTGCCGTCCGGGTCCATGTTCCAGTCCCTGCCCCCCCTGCACTCCTCCTCTGCCACCCCGCCGCTGCTCTCGCCCAAAGCACTAGCAGCACCATCGGTAGCATCGTCAGCAGCAGCAGCGTCATCAGGGCTGACGTTTCCTCCACCACTATCGCCATCATCCGCTCCACTCGTCGCACCAGCGTTTGGGCGATCTTTAGCGCCATCATCAGCATCAGCAGCACGAGCAGCAGCACCACCAACCCCACCACCACCGCCAGCAACAGCAGCAGCAGTATCAGCAGCAGCACCAGCAGCAGCATCAGCAGCGGCAACAGCATCAGTTCCGATGGCACGATCATCAGTGCCTAAATCACCGCCAACCTCTGGGTTCTTATCACCCATAGGAACGCCCCCACAGTTCAGGCCCACAATCAGCAGTGCATCTCAGGGTCTCAACAGGGATGGAGGCGGAGCAGGCAGGCTGGGAGGTGGGATTGGTGAAGTGGCAGAGGTGTGGGAGAACAGACGGCAGCGGGGAGAGGCTGAGCTGGTTAGCAGTCCCTTGGAAGGCTTTCGTGGTCAGCAGCAGCCGTACCAGCAGTACCAGCCGCACCAGCAGTATAACAATAATCATCCTCAGCAGCAGCATCATCATCATCAGCAGCATCCGCAGCAGCAGGAGTTGGCGGGGCAGTGGGCGGAGGGGCAGGTTCTGTTCCGCAAGTTTGGGGAGGAGGGCAGCAGCACGCGCGGCAGCAGCAGGCGGCGCAGCACGGGGCTCATGCGCTTCCGATCGCTCGATAGCGCCAAGCAGCAGTCCTCCAACTTCCACAACTACGTCGCCTCCCTCAAGAGCTAAGCTCACGCACCCACCTGTCCCCTCTTGCGGAACTGGTGTCAGGCGAATGGCTTGATGATGTGTTGCAGGTGCTGTGTTGTGTTGTGTCGTCTTGTGGGAGTCATTGTGTGTGCTTGCGTGGTGTGTGTTCAAAGTGTGCTTAGTGTGAGCTGGACTGCACTCTATGGGTGTGTATGTAGTGTATGGTAAGCTAGGAAGTAGATTAGGAGATAAAAGTTGGGTAAGTAGCAGAGTGAGTCGTATTTTAGGTATTCCATTTGTTCATTGTGTCCAACAAGGCTTTTCATAAGCTTCCTAAGTAGGACCACTACGTATCCAATGGGTTAACTAGTATGGGTTCCTAAGCTGTTCCAGTGGACCACTACATGCATGCTCATCACAGCTACAGCTACACACACTCCTAATCACGATTTTAAAGACGGGAGTACGGGAGTAACCCCACGGCCCTTCCAACCGACCACACAGCCGACCTCCGTTCAGTTTACACGACGAGCGCAACCAGAGGCGCGACGAGCAGCAGCGATGTCAGCACCGTGGCACCTGCAACACAACACACGCCACAGGCATCGCGGCAAACATGGGGATCAGAAACACGGTAACTCGTCACGTCAGCAGCGACAAACGATTTCACGTCAGGCTTTGCTACAGGATACGTGGACCCTCCCGGACTGCTCTGCTCAAATACCTGTGGAAGCGGCCTTAGGGGGCGGCGGGGGAACGACGGGAGGCGGTGGTGATGCGGGGACGGGTGCAGGCGCAGGCGCGGGGACAGGGGCCGGAGTGGGAGCGGGGCCGGGGGCGGGCACGGGGGCCGGGGACGGCGCTGATGCCGGTGTGGGTGCGGACGCTGGCGTGGGCGCGGATGCTGGCGCGGGGGAAGGGCTGGACGCCGGTGCGGGCGACGGGCCCGCTGGGGTTGGCGCAGGGGGGGCGCGCGGCTGAGCGCGAACGGGCGCTATTGAGAGGGCGACGAGCGCCAGCAGCACCGTCAGCATCGCTAACGACTTGGAGCGGCCCATCGCTGGAACTGAAAACGGAACGGAATAATAAGCGTTTCAAATCAGCGTCCCTGGCGAAAAGCGTGGCCAACGAGTAGCCTTCCTCGGACGTGAGGAACGTAGTAGGCGATGAAGCTTTAGACTACTCGAGGGGGACAGATACGATGAGTAAGTATGAAGAGGTACAGTCTGGCTCATGCCTTCTTAAGTCCACGCCGACACGCAACGCGCGGATCGGAAACACGCTCCTTTCCAGCGCGTCCCTTCGCGGAACTGTTGGGTGGCTCCAGTGGGGCGGGCCACCCTGCCTTCCTGCTGAGTCCACCATTCGACTCGCTTCAGCCGCTCGCGCGGGGCGTCAAGACAGACGAACGGGGAGGTCATCGAGGGAGCGCTGGCTCGCGTGACGCGGAGAATTTGAGGTGCGCATGTGACGGTCCTACGTCAGCTGACAGGTACGCAGACATTGAAACTAGCGGTTCGATAGGGGCTGCAGAGCGGTTGAGATCTGGTGCGTGAAAATGACAACATCGGAGCCATCGTTTACGAGCTGCTTCCTTATCAGCAATATATAAATAGGCAACCTTGATAACATAAAAGAAAATCCCCATGGTCATACGGCATTTGCCAAAAAAAGAGCATGAAAAACAATTAATATATATCAAAATATGCGCGGTTAATAAATTTGAGAGCTTTTCGATGATGTATACGTATCAGATTTTGCATGGAAGATTCAGCATTGTTAGAGAAAATAGCAGTAAAATAATGTAAACGCTAGAAGTGAATGCAACCGTACAAGAAAATACGAGATATGCGATTGCAGATGCTTGATTTAAGCTCATACAAATGGCGCAACATTCATATGTTGTCAGACTAAGAGCGTGACATGTTCAATGTTGGGCCCTTGCTCTCCGTCTGCTCTTACCGAATTCTGCCAATTTGAACCCTTGAATCAAAATTCAAACGGGTTCGGCCACGGAACTCCCCACACCTCGTTCTTCCATCTCGCCAGAGCCCCCTCATCAATTCACCCACCCCTCTCTCGAACATCCTCTTCTCTTTCGCCACCCAACCCTCATTCTCGACTTCACTCACCACTGGGCTCCATGGCTCTCTGGACTCATTTCACCAGCCTGCGCAACTTTCCAGGCTAAGTCCTTATCTTTCATCAATATTTGAACTCTGTCGTACAGTGGTGCGTGATCCTATTCGCGAGGATGCGGAAGAAGGCGGACCCGCAGAGGGCGGCAGATACTGACTGTACAGTTGTCGCGGCGCCGAAATGGCGGTACGTGCAGTGCAACATCAAGGGGATGCTGGCGAAACGGGAAGAACAGCGGGCCAACGGTTCGGCAGCGGCGACAAAGGCGAAGCAGACGGCGGGACGGACAGGCCGGGACAACATGGAGGACGGGATTTCGGGCGACAGTCGCAAGGCGTCGTCGAGCGACAAGAACCACATCACGCTGCGCAGTCGGCGCGTGCGCACATCTGGAAGTAGCGAAAGCAGTGGTCTTTTGGGCGGACGACTCTTAGCTGGCAACGAGCCGCCCGTATCCGCGATGTTCCCCGTGACAGCTGTCACTCAGAGCGCCGCCTCGGACGTCGAGCAGCCGCATGGCGCCTCGCCGTGCGACAAGCGGCGGCAGTCCGCGGAGGAGGGGCTGAGCGTGTACAAGCGGCGGCGCATGAGCTCCTTGCCGCCCGCCACACACCCGCTCGCTACCCTGCCCACCAATGCCGTTAGGGTTAGCTCCGCTGCTCCGACCGGGGGAGAGCAGAGCGCGGGAAGCACGGTGAGCACGGCTGGTGCGGAAGCAAAGGCGGAGTGGAGTAGCGGAGACAGGGAAGCCGGCAGAAGAGATGCGCCTTCTGCTGCTGCCTTGTGCGCGCAAGGATCTCAGGCGCAGGCGCAGGAACAGGCGGGACCACAAGCATGCGCAGAGGCGAGCGATGGGAGGCAGGCAAATGGGGAGTGGATGGGGGCCGTTGATCCCGCTGGTCCCGCGGTACTGGAGGTGGAGGTGGCGGGCGAAGTGGCGGTGGCGCTGCACCGCGTGCCCCCGCGCGCGCCGCCACCCGCGCGGCTGCTGCACCCGCCGGTGGCTTTTGAGAGCTCTGTTGAGCCAGCGACCCTTCGCCCTGCTGTGTGCGTGGTGGAAGCGGGAGGGGGTGCGGAGGTAGCGGCCGTGGCGGTGCTTGCGGCGAGCCCTGTGGCGGGGCAGGCAGGCAGCCCGCACGACTCGAGCCACGAGCACGCGGACGGGGACTCGCTGGGGTGCGGTTCTGACTGCGCCATCTGCTTCCGCGCGTCAGGGGAAGGGGATGCAGCGGCGGTGGTGCAGAGCTGTGAGGGGGACGCTGCTGGCACACGCGCTGGGGGGAAAGTGGGTGGAGACAAGGAGAGTGGGGACAAGGGGAGGGACGCCGATGGTGGGGACAAGGAGAGCCATGGCACGGACGGCAGCGCAAAGGAGGGGGGTGCGAAGGTCGCGGCTACCATGCCAGGACCGAATGGGGTCATTCCCCGGGGGCCAGGCTCCTGTGGGCAAGCCTCCACTGCCCTGCCCGCCTTGTCCCCCCTTGCTCCCATGTCCGACTCCCCTTCCCTTGCCCATACCGGTTCAGGCGCACCCAAACCCGCGGGCGAGGCGGGCAGCCCGTGCGAAGCGGGCAGCCCTTGGGAAATACCGGGGGCGGGCGGGCAGCAGAGAAGCGAGGGCAAGGCGGAAGGGGGCGAGAAGGGCGGGTTGGAGCGCGGCGTGGGAGGGGTGCAGGCGAGTCACAGGATGGTGGCTGAGAAGGCTGAGGACGCTTGTGGGGAGGTGATGGATACGTGCGAGCAGATGGGTGGGGAGAAAGGAGACGGTGGGGCCCGAGGAGGAGACTTCACAGCGGACGAGAAGGTTGTAGTGAGGGAAAGCGGTCTGAAAGACTTGGGTATGGACGAGGTTGAAATGAAAGTGCCTGTAGAGATCGAGGGTGCTGCGGTGGTGAAGGAAGAAGGAAGCGGTGATGCTGAGGGAGATACAGGCAAGGCGAGTGCTGGCAGCAGAGAGAAGAAGGTTGGCAGCAGAGAGAAGAAGGTTGGCAGCAGCGAGAAGAAGGTTGGCAGCAGCGGTGGTGTGAAGCGGGAAGATGAGGTGACAGTGAAGGCAGAGCGATCAGGGAACGAGGGTGGTGGTTTAGCAGAGGGGGAGGGCAGAGCAGTGGGAGGGGGTGGGAGTGAGGGAGGAGGGGAGGCGGCCATGCTGGTGGATGATCCCGACGAGGACGACCTCGCCTGCAGCAAGCGCCGCCTCTTCCCCGATGGCCCCCCTCTGCCTGCTCCGCCTGCTGCTGCCCCCCGCCCTCCTCTTCCTCCTCCGCCTGCTCCCACCGGGCCTGCAGTGGCAGCAGCGCGGGTGCAGGTGAAGTGCGAGGCGGGTGAGAGCGAGGGTGTGCCTGTGAAACGCGTGACTGTGACTCATGCCGCTGCTCCTGCTGCTGCCAAGGCTGCTGCCCATGCACGGCTGGACAAGAAGGGGGGGCAGCAGGTGCGGGAGGAGGCGGAAGGAGGTGCAGCAGCAGCAGCAGGGCAGAGTGACAAGAGCCGGCTGACGCCAAAGCGGCGGCGGCTGATAGAGAGCTACGTTGACCGGCTGATGGCCGACCTGCAGCGCCCTCAGTGGATGGAGTAATGCCCACCGCCTCTCACCACTCTGCACCTCCTTGTCCTCCGGTGTTTCAAGCTCTTTCTTTTCAGCTAAGAGCTTGCTGACCTGACTTGGCTTCACCCGACTTGACTTGACTTGAATGACTCCCGTCTGCCTGCTTCTGCTCTCTCTGACCCGTGCTGCAGGCTGCCATTGGCTGGAGTGGATCCAAGGGCTCTCATCGGCCGACTGTGCAAGGTATGACCGTTGGATGCCAGCCTTCCTGCCTGTTGCCTCGTCTCCCCCGGCCCTGCACTCCTGCCAGCAGCCACCTGTGTATCGCCACACCATGCTGCCCTGCCCGGTGTCGCCCCTGCATGTGTGTGTGTGTGTACAACAGGTGTACTGGCCGCTGGACGAGCGGTGGTACGCGGGGCTGGTGTATGCATATGACGCGCGCACGGGCAAGCACCAGGTGCGGTACGACGAGACGGAGAGCGAGTGGCTGCGCATGGCAGCTGAACGCATCAAGCTGCACCTCCCCCGCCACGACCCCCTCCTCGCTCTCTGCCCCACCCCCCCTCCCCCTCCCCCTGCTGCTGCTTCTGCTCCTCCCGCTGCTGCTGCTTCTGCTGCTGCTGCTTCCGCTCCTGCTGCGGCTGCCACGTGTGCCACGGCCCCCCTGGTGGAGGATTGTGGGAAGGAGGAGGGCAGCAGGGACGGCGGCGATCCAGGGTGTGAGAGAGAGGAGGAGCAGGGGAGGGAGGAGGAAGGGGAGGACGAACGAAGCGGGGACGAGGGGGAGGAGGATGAGGACGAGGAGGGGGGAGTGGAGTTGGTTGGGGAGGGAGGGAAGGCGGCAAAGGGTGGCAAGGGGAGGGGGTGGCGGGGCAGGCGGGGGTGGCAGGGGCGGGGGCAGGGCGGGCGCGAGCTGGCGGAGCTGGCAGCGAGCATGGCGCGGGACATGGACCCTGCTCGCGCTGCTGTGCTGGCTGCTGCTGCCATGCTCTCCTCCTCCACCCGCACTGCGCCCAGAGACCACAGGGCCGCGGACCAGGGGGCTGCGCCCAAGGCCAAGGCGGAGGGGCCAGAGGCGGGGGCGGGAGGGGGGGCTGTTCGGCGGGAGGGCACAGGGGCGGGCATGGCAGGGGGGACGGGGGGGCCGCTGGAGGAGCTGAAGCTGGGGCGGTTTGGCGCCAAGGAGCTGGTGTGGGCACGCGTCAAGGGTGAGCAGGGCTGGGGCGTGAACTCGTATGAGGGGTAGTGTGTGACTGTAGAGATAGGGAAGATAGATTGTGACTGTTGCGGGTAGGTGGGATTAGTGTGTGAGGGGCGGATAGGAGGGCTAGAATGCGACTATAATGGTTGAATGTGACTGTAGCGGGTAGAAAGGGATGGAAAGGAGAAGATCTGAGGGAAGGAAAAGAGGGGGGCTTAATTGGTGCCAAGTGTGGAACCATAACTCGTGCTGTTCTGCTGCTGCTGCTGCTGCCCCCACGCATGCAGGGCACCCAGCATGGCCGGCCATGGTGTTGGATCCGGCAGTGGCGGAGCGAGTGGGGCTGCGGGCGGTGAGGGAGGGCGGGGCGGGGGAGGTGCTGGTGCACTTCTTCGGCTCCTACGAGTGCAGCATCGTTGCCGCCTCTGCCGCCTGCCCCTTCCTGCTCGGCCTCGCCAAGGGGCTGCACAACAAGAGCAAGGCCGCCTGCTTCAAAACAGCGCTCCATGAAGTCGAAAGGTCCGAGTCCCACCCCGCGCCTCTCGCCTCTCGCCTCTATCCTCCCGCCCCCTGGCCCTCCGCCAACCACCCTATTGTCCCCCGCGCTCCTCCCTGCACATTCAATTAACCTGAACTTTCTGCAACAGCTTGCAGCAGGTGCAGTTGCTCAAGCGAGCCTACTCTCATACCAGCGGCTGCTCTTGCCCCTCACTCCCGTCCCCTCCAACCTCCCTTCCCCGGCAGGTTCCTGCTGGTGGAGGAGCTGCCAGCGAAGATGGCGTTCCTGCACGGATCGGGGTCGGAGGAGGGCAGCGACGAGGGCAGTGAGGAGTCGGGGAGTGATGGGAGCAGCGCGGAGGGCAGCGAGGGGGCGAGCGAGGAGGGCAGTGAGCGGCAGAGTGGAAGTGGGGAGGGCAGCCAGAGCAGTGGCGAGGAGGGGAATGGGGCAGCAGAGGCGGATGAGCGCAAGGGGTTGAGGGCGGCAGGCAGCGCGGGCAAGAGTGGGGCTGAGGTGGGGGGACGGGCAGCAGTGGTGGGAGGCAAGGTGGTTGATGGGCGTGGCGTGGGGCAGGCAGGAGCAAGTTCAGGGGGGTGTGGAGAGGCAGATGGGGAGGGGGACGGGAAGGTAGGGGAGGCGAGGAGGAGCGGGGGGCAGGCAGTGGGGTCGGATGCGGTGATGGGGGGTGACTCCGCCACCACGGCCACGTCCCCGCCGTCCCTGCCCCTGCACATCGGCTCCCTCACCCTGCTCTCCCTCGGTGCGCCCCCCTCCTCCCTCACCCTGCTCTCCCTTGGTGCGCCCCCCTCCTCGCCCCTTTTTCTCATTCGCTTCCTCCGAGCACCTTCACCCCACTCCTCCCATGCATGTGCCCCAACCCAACCCAACCCTTGCGAAGCCACCTTTGCAGGTAGTGCGTGCCATTGCTGCCCGCATCCCGCGTGCCATGCACCCAGCCACCCATACCCTTGTCCATCCACAGTCCCCTTGGCCCTCATGCTGCCCTGTCCCCCAACCGCCAAGCCTCCCACACCTCCCCCTTCCCCCCGTGCCCACAGGGCGAGTGCTGCCGGGCGAGCCTGGCTTCCACACGGCGCAGCACATCTACCCTGTCGGCTACAAGGCTGTCCGCCCCTTCCCCTCCGCCCAAGGTGTGTTCCGCCCCTTCCCCTCCGCCCAAGGTGTGTTCCGCCCCTTCCCCTCCGCCCAAGGTGTGTTCCGCCCCTTCCCCTCCGCCCAAGGTGTGTTCCGCCCCTTCCCCTCCGCCCAAGGTGTGTTCCGCCCCTTCCCCTCCGCCCAAGGTGTGTTCCGCCCCTTCCCCTCCGCCCAAGGTGTGTTCCGCCCCTTCCCCTCCGCCCAAGGTGTGTTCCGCCCCTTCCCCTCCGCCCAAGGTGTGTTCCGCCCCTTCCCCTCCGCCCAAGGTGTGTTCCGCCCCTTCCCCTCCGCCCAAGGTGTGTTCCGCCCCTTCCCCTCCGCCCAAGGTGTGTTCCGCCCCTTCCCCTCCGCCCAAGGTGTGTTCCGCCCCTTCCCCTCCGCCCAAGGTGTGTTCCGCCCCTTCCCCTCCGCCCAAGGTGTGTTCCGCCCCTTCCCCTCCGCCCAAGGTGTGTTCCGCCCCTTCCCCTCCGCCCAAGGTGTGTTCCGCCCCTTCCCCTCCGCCCAAGGTGTGTTCCGCCCCTTCCCCTCCGCCCAAGGTGTGTTCCGCCCCTTCCCCTCCGCCCAAGGTGTGTTCCGCCCCTTCCCCTCCGCCCAAGGTGTGTTCCGCCCCTTCCCCTCCGCCCAAGGTGTGTTCCGCCCCTTCCCCTCCGCCCAAGGTGTGTTCCGCCCCTTCCCCTCCGCCCAAGGTGTGTTCCGCCCCTTCCCCTCCGCCCAAGGTGTGTTCCGCCCCTTCCCCTCCGCCCAAGGTGTGTTCCGCCCCTTCCCCTCCGCCCAAGGTGTGTTCCGCCCCTTCCCCTCCGCCCACACTTTTGTCTGCAGCATGCCATTCTTCCGCTCCTCTTCCCCTTCCTCTGTCTTCCACACTGTCAAACCTCCTCTCTTCCCCTTCCCCTTCCCCCTCTCTTCCCCTCTAACACCCTGAATTCCCCTCAGACCCGCGTGTGGTGGTGAATCACGTGATGGAGATCCTTCAGCAGGCGCCCCCTCCTCCTCCTCCCCCTCCTCCTCCGCCCCCCACTGCTGCTGCACCAGCGCCAGCAGCAGCGCCATTTGTGCCCTCGGGGGAAGGGGCATGGCGGCGCCCCCAGCTGCGCCAGACACCACAGCGCATGCAGCAGCAGCAGCCCAAGGGGGGCAAGAAGCCACAGCAGAAGAAGCAGCCGCCTGGCGCCTCCGGGACTGCTGGAAACACCCCAGTGCCTGGTGGTCCAATCTTCCGAGTCACCCCAGAAGGCTCTGATCCGGTATGTGCCTCTGCATTCACCTCCCTCTCTTTGTCTTGTCTACCTTGCCTCCCCCGCCCCTCCCCTCAAGCCCTCCATCCTGCCCCCTTAAGCCGCTGGCTGGTGTGCCTGCGCCCTCCCCTCCCTTCCCCACCCGTCTCCCCCCCTCGGGCAGGTGGAGGGCCCATCACCGGGCGAGTGCTGGCGCATCATCCAGAGGCGCGTGGCGGAGGCCAAGCGCCTGCTGCTGCAGCACCTGCACCCGCCCAGCACTGGCGCAGGGGGAGGGGCAGGCGGAGGGGCAGGGGCAGTTACGGGGGCAGGGACAGGGGGTGGAGGCACGGGGGGAGGGGAAGGGAGGGCGCAGAGGGGCGGGGGGCCGATGATGGTGCCGCTGGCGGTGCTGCTGCAGCGAGGCGAGGGCAGCGGTGGTGCGGTGCTGCGTGCTGGAGCAGATGCAGAGGGGACCGGTGGTGGCAGGACAGGCGCGGAGGCAGAGGCGGGTGATGGTAGCCGGGCAGGGGCGGCAGAGGCAGGGGGGGGTGATGGGGGCAAAGCAGGTGCAAGGGCGGAGGAGCAAGAGAGAATAGCAGCGGTAACGAGCGGTGGCCGTGGGGCGGAGGATGGGCAGGCACAGATTGAAGGCACACAGCGGACAGAGAGGGATGGTGGGGGCGGGGGCAGAGAGGGCGCTGTGGGGCAGGGAGGGGCAGAGGCGGAAGCAATGGAGGTGGATGGGGGCGGAGGGGACGAGAGGGGGGACACAGCAGCAGGCGTCCAAGGGGCTTCGTCCCAGGGGGGGCTGCCTGCAGGGGACCCTCTCAGGTGGGCCTTCCCCCCCGCCTCTGCAGCGCGCCCCCTCGCCGCCTCCCCCTCATCCGCGCCCCCGCTCACCCCCTCCCCCCTGCGGCCGCCGTGGCAGGCGCTGCCAGCACAGGGCACAGGGGGCGGGGCAGCGCATGGCAGTGGCAGCCCGCGGTGTGGGGGTGAGTGTGGTGGGGTGAGTGGGGGGTGGGGCGGCAGCGGTGGCAGCTGTGGCAGCGGGGGCAGCAGGGGCAGCGGGCGGTGTGGGGCATGGCTGCCGTCGCACCACGTGCGGTCGGGGGCACAGATGTTCGGCCTCACTCACCCACGAGTGGCGCAGCTCATTCAGGGTCTGCCCAACGCCACCCACTGCCAGCAGTTCACCGCGTGGGTCAACGCCCCTCGCCCTGCGCCTGCTTCCAACACTGCGGACGCCAGCAGGGGCGAGAGGGCGCGACAGGCCAGTGCGCCGGCAAAGCAGCAGGGGGAGGCAGCGCAGGGGGCGCGGGCGGGGGCCGTGGTGGTGAAGGAGTCGCGGCTGCCGGCGGGGTTCAAAGCGGTGGAGTACCGGCAGGCGTCCCTCGACCGCTGCGACGTGTGCTGCCTCTCCGAGGTCAGTGGGTGCACGGGGGGGGTTGCTTCTCCGTGGTGGGAGGATGGGAGAGGGCATCACTCCCTTGTGCATGCGTGTGGGCTTATGCACATGCACGTCTGCATGCTCATGCTCATGCACGTGCACATGCTCATGCTCATGCCCATGCCCATGCTCATGCACATGCCCATGCTCATGCACATGCACATGCCCATGCTCATGCACATGCCCATGCTCATGCACATGCACATGCTCATGCTCATGCCCATGCCCATGCTCATGCACATGCCCATGCTCATGCACATGCCCATGCCCATGCTCATGCCCATGCTCATGCTCATGCCCATGCTCATGCTCATGCCCATGCTCATGCTCATACCACCCCCTGTGCAGGAGTACGAGGACGACCAGCTGCTGCAGTGCGACAGCTGTCGCATCATGGTCCACATGGCGTGCTACGGCGTCAGAGAGCCGCCAGATGGCGGGTTGTGGCTGTGCGACGTGTGCAGCAAGTACGAGCGGCAGGGCAAGCGCGATGCCAAGCCCCTCTGCTGCCTCTGCCCCGTGCAAGGTCAGTGCCCCGTGCAAGGTCAGCGCCCACTCCGTGTCCTGGCCCTCCCATCTTCTCCACCCTCGCGTGTTCGCTGTCCACCAGATTATCCCGTCCTGTCCGTGACCTTTGTCTCCATGCCCATCCCCATCCCCATGCCCATCCCCATCCCCATGCCCATCCCCATGCCCATCCCCATGCCCATCCCCATCCCCATGCCCATCCCCATGCCCATGCCCATCCCCATCCCCATGCCCATCCCCATTCCCATGCCCATCCCCATCCCCATGCCCATCCCCATCTCCATGCCCATCCCCATCTCCATGCCCATCCCCATCTCCATGCCCATCCCCATCTCCATGCCCATGCCCATGCCCATGCCAATCCCCATCCCCATCCCCATGCCCATCCCCATGCCCATGCCAATCCCCATCCCCATGCCCATCCCCATGGCCATGCCCATCCCCATGCCCATCCTCATGCCCATCACCATGCCCATGCCCATCCACATTCCCGTCCTCATGCCCATCCTCATGCCCACCCCCATCCCCGTGCACTTGACCAGGGGGAGCCATGAAGCGGACGGTGCATGGGCTGTGGGCGCACCTGGCATGCTCTCTCTGGATCCCAGGTGGGTTAGTCAAACGGGTTCTGGAAGCGAGTGGAATGCAGCATTAGGAGATTGTGTCAGAAGAACCAGTGGAGTAGGCACGTTTGTTGCTTCGCCCCTCATGCCCACTTCATGTAATCGCTGCTGTCCCCCCTCCCTTGCCCTGCTGTCCGCCCACCCTCACCCTCGTCCATCCACCCTGACCCCTCCCCCACCCGTGGCGGCACACAGAGACGTCGTTTGTGAACATCAAGCGCATGGAGCCCGTCACTGGCTTTGATGACATCCCCAAGGTGCGCTCGCCATGCACCACTCACCACTCACCACTCACCACGCACGACTCACCTTTCACCATTCAAACCACTGCCCCTCTCAATGCACGTCTCCATATTGATATTAATCACGCTCGCTCCCAAGTCATCCCAACGTTTTCCATGCTTATTACCAACATCGTTCTCCCCTCCACGCCGCCTCCCCTCCCCCTCTTCGCCCTTCCTCTCCCTGCAGGCGCGGTGGCAGCTGCGGTGTTGTGTGTGCCGCATCCCCCACGGGGCGTGCATACAGTGCGCGGCAGGGCAGTGCTACACCGCCTTCCACCCGCTCTGCGCCAAACTCAAGGGCTACCCCATGCTGGTGAGAGCACGACTCAAGGGCTACCCCATGCTGGTGAGAGCACGACTCAAGGGCTACCCCATGCTGGTGAGAGCACGACTCAAGGGGTACCCCATGCTGGTGAGAGCACGACTCAAGGGCTACCCCATGCTGGTGAGAGCACGACTCAAGGGCTACCCCATGCTGGTGAGAGCACGACTCAAGGGCTACCCCATGCTGGTGAGAGCACGACTCAAGGGCTACCCCATGCTGGTGAGAGCACGACTCAAGGGCTACCCCATGCTGGTGAGAGCACGACTCAAGGGCTACCCCATGCTGGTGAGAGCACGACTCAAGGGCTACCCCATGCTGGTGAGAGCACGACTCAAGGGGTACCCCATGCTGGTGAGAGCACGACTCAAGGGCTACCCCATGCTGGTGAGAGCACGACTCAAGGGCTACCCCATGCTGGTGAGAGCACGACTCAAGGGCTACCCCATGCTGGTGAGAGCACGACTCAAGGGCTACCCCATGCTGGTGAGAGCACGACTCAAGGGCTACCCCATGCTGGTGAGAGCACGACTCAAGGGCTACCCCATGCTGGTGAGAGCACGACTCAAGGGCTACCCCATGCTGGTGAGAGCACGACTCAAGGGCTACCCCATGCTGGTGAGAGCACGACTCAAGGGCTACCCCATGCTGGTGAGAGCACGACTCAAGGGCTACCCCATGCTGGTGAGAGCACGACTCAAGGGCTACCCCATGCTGGTGAGAGCACGACTCAAGGGCTACCCCATGCTGGTGAGAGCACGACTCAAGGGCTACCCCATGCTGGTGAGAGCACGACTCAAGGGCTACCCCATGCTGGTGAGAGCACCCCTAACACATCATTCATCCAGCAACCCATAAATTCCTCTCTCCTAACCCCTCCCTTGTACACGATGCACATGAGAGAGCGAGGCCAGCATGGACAGCAACTCACCTGTCCCCTTCCTCCTCTCCCCCGTCCGCCCCGCCTGTGGGCAGACGTTGGACATGAGTGAGGAGAGCATGGAGCGCAGCCGGCTGCACGGCACGGTGGTGGGGTCCGTGGCCATGATCTGCTTCTGCCCGCGCCACCGCGCGCGCGCCAAAGCCCTCCACGCCACGCCCTCCCTCCCCCCCCACCCCTCCGCGCCCTCCCCCTCCCCCGAACCCACCGCCGCTGCTGTTCCCCCTCGCCCGCCCTCCCCCACCTCTGCCCCAGCCACATCCGCTGCTGCTGCTGCCTCCCTCGGCCCCTCCGATCCACTGCCCAAAGTCCTCCCCATGTCGCAGCTGCTCTGCCACCCCTCGCCCTCGCAGCTCCCTTCCCCCTCCGCCGCCCCTGCTGCTCTGGGCAGTGAGCAGGCTGAGAGGGGGAGAGAGGGGATGGGAGGGAGCGAGGGCGACAGAGAAGAGGGCGGTGGGGGTAGGGAGGGTGCGAGAGAGACTAGGAGCGGTGGAGGTGTGAGGGCGGGGAGAGAGGGAAAAGGAGGGGAGAATGAGGGTGGCAGTGGGAGTGGCAGCGAGAGTGGGTGGAGTGAGAGCAGTGGAACAGGAGGGGGTAGCAGTGAGGGCGGGTGTGAGATGGACAGCAGCCGGCGGGATGTGCCACCAGGTGGCCGGGCGGGCGGAGAGAGAGTGCTGTGCGCTCGAACAGGTGAGATAGATTGCAAAGACCACAACTTGTTTTCGCCATTTTCCCCTTTGTACCTGTATATGCGTCCGCTCTCTCCCCCTCCTCCCTACCCCCCACCCCCCGCCCCTTCAATTGGCATCACCTCTCCCTCTCTCCTGCCCCTCCTCCCCACCCACCGCCACCCCTCAGAGCCCTTTGACGCGCGCATACGGAGGGGGCGCAGGGAGCCGGATGCGGTGGCGGCGTTCCTGACGAAGCGGTCGTTTCTGGAGAACGTGCCCTTCGCCATCTGTGGCCGGCGCCAGGAGCAGCGCCGCGTGCACGGCCCCTCCGTGGTGGAGGCGGTGCGAGCGCACATGCAGCACGCCGCCTCCCACCCCGCCCAGGAGCTCGGCTCCAAGGACGGGCACGTGGGCACAGTGGGGGAGGGGCGCGGCAGGGCAGGGCAGCACGAGGTGTGCCGTGACGCGGAGGGTGTGAGGGACGTGGGGCCGGGGGGGGGCGTGCATGTGAGTAGGCTGCGGCGGTTGCTGCACTCGGGGCTGGTGGGTGGCGCGGAGGGGCAGGAGGGGCAGGCGGGCAGTGGGGAGGGCGAGGTGCGGTCGATGTCGGACCGCTTCCGCCGCATGAAGTCCACCCAGCAGCAGCGCCTCGCCTTCGGTGTGTTGGGGGCAGGGATGGTAATTTGGTGCATGTGTGCGCGGGCAGGTAGTGGGTGGGCGGGCAGTGATGATGGTAGGGATGGGGATGCCGTGCCGTGCCGTGCCGTGCTGGTGATTTGGTGCCGGTCGTGCCAGCACACGCTCGTCCGCCAGTGTGGTGTCGTTGGGTTGGGCCTATGCGCTTCTTCCCTTGTGTGTGCATGTGGGCGTGCAGGCAAGTCAGCCATCCACGGGTGGGGTGTGTTCGCCAAGACGCCTCATCGGGCCGGGGACATGGTGAGTGCCCACTGCCACCACCACCCTGCACGTGCAATTGCTCGTCTCTGGGAAAATCTCGCGTCTCATGGCATGTGTTGCATGCTCCATGAATTTCAGCATGTGATATCACTTCCTGCCTTGCCCTGCTCCACTCGTGTTCACCTGAATGTCTTCCTTCTTTCTCGTCTTTGACAAAACATGTCTCCGTATCTCATGCTGTCTACCCATGCTGTGCTGTCCCATCAGATCATAGAGTACGGGGGCGAGGTGGTGCGGCCAGTGGTGGCAGACTTGAGGGAGAGGCGCTGCTATGACTCACTCGTGGTACGCATGCTGCTGCCTGCACTGCTGCACCCCGTAACTGCACCATTTCACTTCCGCGCTCACTCTTTTCCCCTCGCATTGGGTCATTTCTCCATGTCTCCGTTACTCATCGCTTCTCTGACTGGTGGATGTATGGGCGTGGTGGTTGATGCATGATGCATGGTGCATTGCTTTCACACACTGTGTGTGATGCATGTGTGGCACATATGTGTGCGGTGCATGCATGGCGAACGGCTGTTGGGTGTGGCACAGGGAGCGGGCACGTACATGTTTCGGATCGACAGCAACCGAGTGGTGGACGCCACCAAGGCGGGCACCATAGCACACCTCATCAACCACTCCTGCAACGTTAGTGCCACTCCATCCATGCTCTCTGCTCTTTTCTGCATGCCGTGTGCTGGCTGTGCTGCAGCCCCTCTCTCGCCTTGTTTCTCTCCTGTCATCCATGTCGCTCACTTGAAAACGGACCGGCTTCCCAGCTGCCCATGCCTGCATGTGTCCCGCACAACACCCCTCATTCCCGTCTCAAGTATCCTGCCATTCCATCCCCCCCCTCTCCTTCCCTGCGCCCCATGCAGCCCAACTGCTACTCGCGGGTGGTGCAGGCGAGTGCGGAGGAGCGCATTGTCATCTTCGCCCGGCGGGACATCATGGCTGGCGAGGAGCTCACCTACGACTACAGGCACGGCCCTGAGCCCTCCCCTCCCCTCCCCCCCCCCCCCCCCCCCTCCCCCCCACTTGCCGCACGCCCACTCTCAATCGCCTTGTTGATCCATCTACTGCCCTCTCACCCTTCCCCCATGCCCCGTCAACCATGCCACCATGCCTCCTGAGCCACGCCCCTATGCCTCCCAACCGTGATCCATCCACTCTCCTCCCTCTCAGGTTTGACTCGCAGGACGAGCAGCTGGCGTGCAACTGTGGCAGCAGCGGGTGCCGTGGCGTGGTCAACATTCTGAGGGGCCACGACGACCACGCCGATGGAGACGTGGCCATGTGGGCCCCTCGCAGCGAGCTGCTGCCCTGGCAGCCGCCCACCGCCCCCCTGTGATGCCCTGCATGGGGCGTGCGTTCATGAATGCACATGGCAGCACATGGCAGCACACGGCAACACATGGTCTTGATTATGCTTGTCCCAATAATGCCATTTGGCTTGCCTTTAGGCCATGGCCCGTGATTCCCGTCTGTCAAAGTTATCGTCAGAATACCATACTAACCCAAGCAATTCTTATGTATACCGTAAATACTTGCTTCCAGTTGATGTACTTATTTGACATGGTTTGCTTTGCATGCAACAAACAATGATGGATCTCTTTTGAATTGCTCCCATTGAGTGGCACAAATTTGGAAACACAACATAACCATGTGCTTATTCACCAGGGCCTCAGATTCGTTTGGGGGTACACTGAGGCCTCAGGGCAGTTTTTAGGAAATCAGACTTTGCCCTGAATTGTCAGGGCTGCACAGGGTGAGGTATCCTGAAATGCCAGTGCTACATTTAGCAGTATGCTGTAAATTTAGTGCTACAATCAGTGATAGGTGAAGTGTTGTAGCGGGTAAAGTGATAATGTGGTACGTAAGAGGTCTCTTGCTCGATTCCTACTGGCTCCTATGATTGAGGTGCTCGCCCGTACATATTTTAGGCCCCAAAACCCAGGAGATTTTTCGTACAGTACATCTCGCCTCAGAGCGAGATTCGACACTATCCTGACTCATCAGGGCTGAACCTACAGCCTTATCCTGAGTTTTCAGTACGCAAAATAACCGTTATACTGAAATTACAGGACAATTATTCCTGTTATGCTGTTTTTCCAGGACTAGCACACGACACCTATCCTGAATTCAGGAGAATCAGGATAAATTATCCTGATAACTGAGGCCCTATTATTCACTGTTGGAATCATGGACAGGCAGGCAGCATCTTGTGCCCACAGTACCGTACAGTTGGACAAAAGAAAGGTCAAACCTAAAGCAACACACTCTGGGAGCAATTGACGAACAAGCCCCCATTGGGGCAGTGCGTTGGCCTGCTCTGCACTCCCACCAACGTGCTTACCGTAGCTGCTCGGGTGGCTATGGCACCAAGGAAGCCAGCAAGCAAGGCTAAACTGCTGCATACATATGATGTCCATCAGAGGAGAATACCATAATAATAATTAATAAATACAAATGATATATGTTTGCGTATTCTTGTGTGCCGTGCTCTACTCAATCTCCAGCACCGAGTCCTCTATGAGCGAGGCACTGAGAGTGGAGGCGGCAGCGAGGTTGTTGGTGGAGCCGATGGAGCGCGCCAACAGGGAGCGTGCAGCGGTGCCACCGTGCACGCTGCTCACCACGTTGAAGTCGCTCACCACCGCCCCCGCTGCGTCCACACTCACCCCGCCCTTCAGTGACACGTCCTGCTCCCATGCACAGGCAGAGGGGCGGAGGGGAGGGGCGGAGGAGGGCAGAGGGGCGGAAGGGAATGCTCAAACTGGGATGAGATGCAGCGGCAGAGAGGGGGCGAGGTGGAAGAGGGAATGAGTTCATGGGGAGAGCGGGGAGGGAATGGGCGGCTGACCTTGGTCCATTGTGGCTGGTTGCGGGCAGCCTCCTTGCGGATGGCATCATGGTCGAAGAAGAAGACAACCACGGTGATGTCATCATGGTACGACCGCCGCTGCCCCGATGCCATGCGCAGCAGCTCGCCGTACGGCACCTCTGTGCGCTCCGCCGCGCGCCGCAGGGCAGCACGGATGAGCTGGCGGGCGATGTCTTTGCGCGGGGAGACAGCCACCATGTCCACCACCTCCTGGTTGCTGAGCAGCTCAAACAGCCCGTCCGACGCCACCACCACAAACGCATCGTGTGGCGCCAGCAGGCGCACCGCCACGTGCGGGTCCGTGGAGAGCAGCGGCGGGTTGAAGGGCTCGGCGACGCGGAAGCGCGAGAAGAGCGGCTCGCGGTTGAAGTCGTGCGACTTGAGGTAGAGGTCCCCGAAGGCGCGCGTGACGGTGATCTTGCCCTTGACGCGGTAGCGCCCGCGCTTCTCCGTGACGGCGTCGGGCATGTCGGCGTGCTCCTCGCGGTACCGGTCGCGGATGGCCTGGAAGCTCAGGTTGTGGTCCTCCGACATCTGCAGCGCTCGACACTCCAGCCCGTCCCCCGTGTGCCGCACCTGGACGGACAGAGGTGCAGGAGGGAATGGCGAGGGAGAAAGGAGGGTGAGTGAAGGGTAGAAAGGTTTAGGTAACGCACTTACCGGTCATGCATTCCTCAGCATGCAACGGCAGTCTCACCTGCCCCAGCACAGCCCGGCAGTCGCCCACATTGGCGACCCAGAGGGCGCTGCGAGTGACGATGGCGACGGCGGAGCACGCCCCCACGGTGGCCAGGTGCGGCGAGTCCAGGAAGCTGTCCCTCACGCGCGCCGTGAACTGCCTCTCCGTCTCCGCAAACCCCCGCCGCAGCGCCTCCACCGACACCGCCCCTCCCCCGCGTAGAAACTCCTCTGGTGGGGGGAAGAGGGGGCGCAAGAGGAGGAGAGGAATGAGTGGTGGGAATGCAGGCTGCAGATGGGCCGGTAAGAGTGGAGGTGTGATGTGAGCATGGCAGTGGGGCGGCTTTGCATTTGCACGCACTCTTGAGGTTGTTGTAGAGCGTGTGGCGCAGGAACTCAGCGGTCTCACTGCCGCCATGGCCATCATGCACGCCGATGTACACGCCGCCCGACCCCGCCTCCACCTCAACGGCGTCCTCCATGACGTAGTTGGCCTCGTACATGGCCAGCGACAGCTGCCCCAGCCCCGTGCTGTCCAGCGCCCGGTGCCACACGTCCCGCCGCTTGCGCACACTCATGCCCTCCCCGTCCCCCGAGCTGCGGCCGTCACGCGAGCAGAGGCGTGCGGAGGCGCGTAGCCAGCGCGAGGGGCTGAAGAAGCCGCGCGGCACGGCGGAGAGGGTGGAGAGGCCGAGCTGCTGCCAGCGCCGGGAGGCAAAGCGGCGTGCGTGGCCGTGCTGGTTGCCCTCCACGTCGTCGGCCTCGTCCCCCCCGTGGAACACCACGTCCAACCCCACCTGCCATGGGGGGGGGTGAGGGTGGCACGAGGGGCGCAGGGGGAGAGAGCGGGAAAATGAGGGGGGGCGAGAAGCATGTGTGGTGGTAATGCAATAATCAACAGAGAAAAAGCATACGTGTAAGTAGCTTCCCTGCTCTCGACCTCCCACACCTTGCCTTCCCATGACTCTCACTCAACCCCATCACCCCCTGCTGCCCCCCTGCCTTGTGTCACGCCCTGGCCACACCTGGTGGCATGCCCCTCTTTTTGACGCGCCCTGGGCTCACCTCCTCCTGGTGGCGCTTGACGCGCAGCACATCAAAGAAGTGCAGCCCGTAGAAGAGGAAGAGCGCCGTGGCGCCCACCCACGCGTACACTATCAGCAGCCCCAGGATCTGCCGTGCCATGGGACCCGGGGGGGTGAGAGAGAGAGAGAAAGCAAGCAAGGTGAGGGGGAAGGGAGGGGGGGTGAGATGAAGGTAAACTACGACGCAGGGAGAGCACGCTAGTGGCTGGCAGGCGCCAGAGTGCACAGAAGAATGGGCGCACATGCACTGGTAGACACACGTGCACTGGTAGACACAGGGCACATGGCACCTGCACAAGGAGCTGCCAGGCGGAGCAGCCGTAGAAGACGCCACAGGAGAGGGGCTGGGCGATGTTGTAGGTGCGGCTGATGTTGGCCGGACTCGCAAAGAACCCCACCGCCACCCCGCCCCACGACCCGCACACCAGATGCACCGGCGTCGCCTGAGGACGCACAGAAGGGGTTGGGGTGGGTGGGTGGGGAGCTGGGGGGGTGAGGGTGAGAGGCGGTGGGAATGACAGTGACAGAAGCGAGCATAGGTGGGTGGAGTTATGCAGATATGTGCACAGCTGATTAGAGTTCTGCACGGGTCACACCTGCACGGGTCACACCTGCACGGGTCACACCTGCACGGGTCATACCTGCACGGGGTCATACCTGCAGGGGTCATACCTGCACGGGGTCATACCTGCACGGGGTCATCAAGTTGGCATCGCAGCATGACCCACGTGCCCAGCAGGTACAGTGCCCCCGCTCCCATGCCTGCTCACATGCACAGGCAGAGTAATGGCGAGACGAGAATGAAGGGACGAGGGTGGCAGAGGAGGGGGGCCATGTGGCAGGAGCGAGACCTGAATCAACTGCAGCGGAGATGGAAGATGCAGAGAGGCAAAGAGAGCAGGAAGTGAGAGGCACACCGATGACGCAGGCGGCCCAGGGCTCAACGAGGGAGCTGGTGGCGCAGGCAGCCACGAGGCCCCCGATGACCCCGTTGAACGTGTCCTCGGGCACGGGCTCTCGGCGCCGGTACGTGAGCGTCCACACGGTGACCCCGGCCGCAGCGGCGCAGATGGTGGTGTTGACGCACACGCGCGCCACCTCGGCACTCCAGTCCAGCGGGTCCTCCCCCAGGTAGTCCACGCTGCAGCCGTTGAAGCCGTAGAAGCCCGTCCACAGGATGATGGTGCCCGCCGCCACAAACACCTGCAGGGGGGATGGGCTTGGGTGAGGACGTGACATGGGAAGAAGAGGGCGGGAATGAATGAACACGTCGCAGCATGGCATGAGCATGTGTTAACGTGGGGTTCTGCATGGTCATAGGGTGCTCTTCTCCTGTGGCGTTGAATGGCATCATGATCGCACCATGGAGTGGCATGGCATCTCACCATGGAGTGGCCCTTGAACGGCACGACCTTGCCGTCGATGTCAAAGCGGCCGATGCGCGGCCCCACCATCCACGCGCCCACCAGCGAGGTGACGCCCCCCGTGACGTGCACCACCATGGACCCGGCGTTGTCCAGCACGCCGTTGGTGTTGAGGATCACGGCCCCCCGCGCCGGCGACAGCAGCCCGTTGCTGCTCCACAGCACGTGCGCTATCACCGGGTAGATCAGCGCCGCCAGCACGAAACTGGGGCAGTCGCAGGGAAGCAGGGAGGAGGGGGGTAGGGGGTGTGGATGACATAGGCGAGGGCAGTGGGCGGCA